CAGACGGCTGGTCACTCTTCCAACAAGAAGGTATTGTTGTTAAATCTTCTGCAACTCTCCGAGGAAGCCCGTCCACCACTGCTTTATCTCTGATAAAGCAGAGTATTTTACCGAAGAAAGTACCTGTTGAGGGGAAGTAAAGCGTAGTTTTAGAAGGCTTCCCAGACTCTTTGTATGTTGCTCCCATGGTGGACGTGTATTTGAAATCAATGTATTTTACTGGCCCATGTACATTAGCCGTGGTAGATAGTATTCCAGTACAAGGAAGAAGTCATTCTGGCTAATGATTTGGTATTGGGGCTAGTGATGAATAATCCAGTAGTTGTTGCGGAACCAATGGCTGATGTGGTGACTCTGATGGCAATGGTCCAAACACGATCTCGGGTGAAAAAGCGATTAGGGTTAGAGAAGTTATTTAACCCTGTGATTACCCCTAAGGTTGAAAATAAATGCCCTTGTAATAAGTTGAATTTTATTGCAGAGAACCAGAATTGGACTAGTGAGTCTTTGATTGCAGAGCAGGAGAGAGACTCACAAGTTAAAGCTCTGGCCGACCTTGTTGACTCCGGTCAGAAGATGGGAGATCGATATTTGAAGAACGACAAGGTTGAACATTCATTGTTCAGAAGGTGCCCGCAGAGAACTCCTCAGTCAGTGGACGTAAGTAACCCACAAATAGTGGTGCCCGAACCATTCAGCGCGAGACTGCTTGAAGTGGCACATGATATTGAATACTCAGGACATTGTGGGATTTCTAAGATCTTCCACAGTTTAGCTAAGAACTTTTACTGGCCTAGGATGAAGAACGATGTACGACAACACTGCAAAACTTGACACGTTTGCCAGGTGGTTGGTAAAGTAAACCAACCAGTTCTTAAAGCCCCATTGAATCCGATACCCTCAATTGGTGAACCATTTGAACACCTAATTTTGATATTGTTGGTCCTCTTCCTCCTACTACGTCTGGGGTTCAATATACATTTACCATCATGGACAGAGTTGGCAGGTATCCTGAAGCTTTTCCCCTTCGAACAATAACATGTAAGGTACTGGTCAAACACCTGATTTGGTTCTTCTCAAGACAGGGTCTCCCTAAAACGATTCAAACTGATCAGGGAAGTAACTTTACTTCCAAATATTTAAATCAACAGATGTTGGACTTGGGGATTTACCACATAACGTCCTGTGTCTATCATCCAGAATCCTTAGGAGCACTCGAGAGGTTCCTTCAAACTCTGAAGCAGATGATGAGGAAGTATTGTATCGATAAGTAAGAACGTTGGGTGGAGGACCTGCCTTACCTGCTCTTTGCTATAAGATCGGTTCCAAATGAATCTCTTGGCCTGTCCCTTGGCCACATCTCTTGGTATGCTAGCAAGAGGGCTAGTTGAGCGCTGAGGACTTCACTGTTGGAGTGTGCTAGCCAGAAGGCTAGTTGAGCGCTGAAGACTTCACTGTTGGAGTGTGCTAGCCAGAAGGCTAGTTGAGCGCTGAAGACTTCACTGTTGGAGTGTGCTAACCAGAGGGTTAGTAGAGTGCTGGAAGACTTCGCTGTTTGAGTGTGCTAGCCAGTGAGCTAGTAGAGCGTTTCAAGACGTCACCATAACTGCAGCTAGCGTGAGGGCTAGTGATGCTGTGAAGACCTCGTCAGAGGGTCTTTACATAGTCTCCGTCATCTTTGAAGCAAGCTAGCGTGAGAGCTAATGATGTGCTGGACGACCGTGTCAGAGGGTTGTATATAGTAGTAGTTGTAGATAATAATAAGTAATATTTTTAAGTTCAATTTTATTTCTTACCTTAAACATTACACTGCATTTCCACCAAAGTTTGGGATCTCTGAACTTGAGTAAGATCATAGTTTTAAAAGAACCTGGTTATGGAAGAGTTCGCAACACTTTCCCTCAGAACTTAGAGCAACTCAGTGTTGCTTCTTCCTTCTCTTTAGTGTTACTTCTTCCTTCCCCTCAGTGTTACTTCTTCTTTCCCCTCAGTGTTACTTCTTCCATACCCACAGTGTTAATTCCTTCTTCCCCTCAGTGTTACTTCTTCCATATTCTCAGTGTTAACTCATTCCTTCCCCTCAATGTTGCTTCCTTCTTTGTGATGCTTCTTTCTTCCCTCAGGAAGGAAAGTAACACAGAGGACACAACTTTCTTTCCCATCAGTGCTACTCATTACTTACCTTCAGTGTTCCTTCTTCCTTTCCCTCAATGTTGTCTCATCTTTACCTTGAGTGTTGCTACCTTCTTCCTCCCAGTGTTGCTTCTTCCTTCCTTCCAGTGTTGCTTCTTCCTTCCTCCCAGTGTTGCTTCTTCCTTCCTCCCAGTGTTGCTTCTTCCTTCCTCCCAGTGTTGCTTCTTCCTTCCTCCCAGTGTTGCTTCTTCCTTCCTTCCAGTGTTGCTTCCTTCTTCCTCCCAGTGTTGCTTCCTTCTTCCTCCCAGTGTTGCTTCCTTCCTCCCAGTGTTGCTTCCTTCTTCCTCCCAGTGTTGCTTCTTCCTTCCTGCCAGTGTTGCTTCTTCCTTCTTCCCAGTGTTGCTTCTTCCTTCCTTCCAGTGCTGCTTCTTCCTTCCTTCCAGTGTTGCTTCTTCTTCCTCCCAGTGTTGCTTCTTCCTTCTTCCTGCCAGTGTTGCTTCTTCCTTCTTCCTCCCAGTGTTGCTTCCTTCTTCCTGCCAGTGTTGCTTCTTCCTTCCTCCCAGTGTTGCTTCTTCCTTCCTCCCAGTGTTGCTTCTTCCTTCCTCCCAGTGTTGCTTCCTTCTTCCTCCCAGTGTTGCTTCCTTCTTCCTGCCAGTGTTGCTTCCTTCTTCCTCCCAGTGTTGCTTCTTCCTTCCTCCCAGTGTTGCTTCTTCCTCCCAGTGTTGCTTCCTTCTTCCTCCCAGTGTTGCTTCCTTCCTCCCAGTGTTGCTTCCTTCTTCCTCCCAGTGTTGCTTCCTCCTTCCTTCCAGTGTTGCTTCCTTCTTCCTCCCAGTGTTGCTTCCTTCTTCCTGCCAGTGTTGCTTCTTCCTTCCCTCATTGTTACTGCCGCCCTCTTTCTCGTCTTCCCTCTTACTGCCTCCTCCGTCTTTTCCTCTCCAGGAAAATATATAAGATTCCCGGCAAGGAATACTGAGGCGAGAGAAACAGTTGTGAAGTGAGGATGGTGACGCTGGAGGGACTCATCTACCACGGACATAACATGGGTGAGGATGGTGACGCTGGAGGGACTCATCTACCACGGACATAACATGGGTGAGGATGGTGACGCTGGAGGGACTCATCTACCACGGACATAACACGGGTGAGGATGGTGACGCTGGCGGGACTCATCTACCACGGACATAACATGGGTGAGGATGGTGACGCTGGAGGGACTCATCTACCACGGACATAACACGGGTGAGGATGGTGACGCTAGCGGGACTCATCTACCACGGACATAACACGGGTGAGGATGGTGACGCTAGCGGGACTCATCTACCACGGACATAACACGGGTGAGGATGGTGACGCTGGCGGGACTCATCTACCACGGACATAACATGGGTGAGGATGGTGACGCTGGAGGGACTCATCTACCACGGACATAACACGGGTGAGGATGGTGACGCTAGCGGGACTCATCTACCACGGACATAACACGGGTGAGGATGGTGACGCTAGCGGGACTCATCTACCACGGACATAACACGGGTGAGGATGGTGACGCTGGAGGGACTCATCTACCACGGACATAACAAGGTGAGGATGGTGACGCTAGCGGGACTCATCTACCACGGACATAACATGGGTGAGGATGGTGACGCTAGCGGGACTCATCTACCACGGACATAACATAGGTGAGGATGGTGACGCTGGAGGGACTCATCTACCACGGACATAACAAGGTGAGGATGGTGACGCTGGAGGGACTCATCTACCACGGACATAACATGGGTGAGGATGGTGACGCTAGCGGGACTCATCTACCACGGACATAACATGGGTGAGGATGGTGACACTGGAGGGACTCATCTACCACGGACATAACACGGGTGAGAATGGTGACGCTGGAGGGACTCATCTACCACGGACATAACACGGGTGAGAATGGTGACGCTGGAGGGACTCATCTACCACGGACATAACACGGGTGAGAATGGTGACGCTAGCGGGACTCATCTACCACGGACATAACATGGGTGAGGATGGTGACACTGGAGGGACTCATCTACCACGGACATAACACGGGTGAGAATGGTGACGCTGGAGGGACTCATCTACCACGGACCTAACACGGAGGCGGCATCACCATTGCACTTGCTGTAATTAATTCTCAACTTACATTTTCTTTTTGAAAATTTCTATGCAAAATTCCCCACTCGCTCGTGTGAAGAGAGAGAGAGGACGGGTCAAAAATGCACAACGGGGACTGAAACATTTTAATTATATTCCAGATGACACAGATGACCTTATCGGAGTTCGCCTTAATTCCTTGTTGTGTTCAAGTTATTTCTCGTGAATGAACGAGATTAAAAAACGCAAAATTGTAATTTTCCAGTGTCTGATTAACCACTGGTGTCACACAGCACAATCCCCTCATGAAAAAACTATTCTTCGCGGCAGGGGACTCTTCATTTTTGAGGAAGTCGCCATATTTATGCAGCGCTAGCGGGAACTGCAGTACTCGTCACTCCGTCCAGGACCCGTGAAGATATACCTATGCCACTCTGTGTAAACATTCTGGGAAAGTTAAATGTGGACATGGGCAAGGCATTGGGAGACCCAGAGAGGGAGATTGTGTCCGCTCAGATAGATCGGGGGAAAATAAAGAGGAAGGGGAGGCTGTGCTCGGCCGGAATAAGAGAAAACCAGAAGATGGAAGAGGGGAGTGCTCGGCCAGATAGTGCTGAGTAAAGAGGGAAATGAGAGAGAGTGCTCGGTCAGTCGCCATGGCGACCAGGCCAGCCTCTGGCCGCTAAAATATAAATATTGTCCTGCATATAAAATTAAGTAAAGCTTTACGTGAATATTAATTTATATTCCTTTTATTGCTTTTTTGGTGCGCAATATTTGGGCAAATAGCGAATGTTTGGTAAAATCAAGCGGAACTGTGAGCGTGGAGCACTGAGCCTGCAGCTGTGAGCGTGGAGCACTGAGCCTGCAGCTGTGGTCGTGGAGCACTGAGCCTGCAGCTGTGAGCGTGGAGCACTGAGCCTGCAGCTGTGGGCGTGGAGCACTGAGCCTGCAACTGTGAGCGTGGAGCACTGAGCCTGCAGCTGTGGGCGTGGAGCACTGAGCATGCAGCTGTGAGCGTGGAGCACTGAGCCTGCAGCTGTGAGCGTGGAGCACTGAGCCTGCGGCTGTGGGCGTGGAGCACTGAGCCTGCGGCTGTGAGCGTGGAGCACTGAGCCTGCGGCTGTGGGCGTGGAGCACTGAGCCTGCGGCTGTGAGCGTGGAGCACTGAGCCTGCGGCTGTGGGCGTGGAGCACTGAGCCTGCGGCTGTGGGCGTGGAGCACTGAGCCTGCAGCTGTGGGCGTGGAGCACCGAGCCTGCAGCTGTGAGCGTGGAGCACCGAGCCTGCAGCTGTGGGCGTGGAGCACTGAGCCTGCGGCTGTGAGCGTGGAGCACTGAGCCTGCAGCTGTGGGCGTGGAGCACTGAGCCTGCGGCTGTGAGCGTGGAGCACTGAGCCTGCAGCTGTGGGCGTGGAGCACTGAGCCTGCAGCTGTGGGCGTGGAGCACTGAGCCTGCGGCTGTGAGCGTGGAGCACTGAGCCTGCAGCTGTGGGCGTGGAGCACTGAGCATGCAGCTGTGAGCGTGGAGCACTGAGCCTGCAGCTGTGAGCGTGGAGCACTGAGCATGCAGCTGTGGGCGTGGAGCACTGAGCCTGCGGCTGTGGGCGTGGAGCACTGAGCCTGCAGCTGCAGCTGCAGCTGCCTGAGCGTGGAGCACTGAGCATGCAGCTGTGAGCGTGGAGCTGAGCCTGCACCTAAGAGCGTGATAGTGCAGCTGTGGGCGTGGAGCACTGAGCGTGCAGTTGTGAGCGTGTGAGCGTGTGAGCGTGGGGCACACAGTGTGCAGCTGTGAGCGAGGAGCACTGAGCATGAAGCTGTGAGCGTGCCGCTGTGAGCGTGGAGCACTGAACCTCAAGATGTGAGCGTGGAGAACACAGTGTTCAGCTGTGAGCGTCGAGCACTGAGCGTGCAGCTGTGAGCTTGGAGCACTAACCACCGGAACTGAGCGTTCAACTGTGTGCGTGGAGCACTGAGCCTGCAGCTGTGAGCATGCAGTACTAAGCCTGCAGCTGTGACCGAGGAGCACTGAGCCTGCAGCTGTGACCGAGGAGCACTGAGCCTGCAGCTGTGAACGTTGATCACTGCACTTGCAGCTGTGAGCGTGGAGCACTGAGCCTGCAGCTGTGAGCGTGGAGCACTGAACTTACAGCAGTGAGCGTGGAGCACTGAGCGTACAGCTGTGAGCTTGGAACAGTGAGTCTGCAGCTCTGAACGTGGAACACTGAGCCTGCAGCTGTGAAAGTGAAGCACTGAGCCTGAAGCTGTGACCATGGAACACTAAGCCTGCAGGTGTGAGCGCAGAGCACTAAGTATCTTACTGTGGGCGTGGAGCACTAAACGTAGCTGTGAGCGTGGAGATCTAAGCCTGCAGCCGTGTGCCTAGAGCTCTGATTCTGTAGCTGTGGGCGTGGAACGCTGAGCATGCAGCTGTTTGCGTGGAGCACTGAGCCTGCATCTGTGAGCGTGGAGCACTGAACCTGCAGTTGTGATCGTGGAACCCTGAGTAAGCAGCTGCGAGCGTGGAGCACTGAGCGCACACATGTGAGCGAGGAACATTGAGCCTGCAGCTGTGAGCGTGGTACACTGAGCCTGCAGCTGTGAGCGAGGAACATTGAGCCTGCAGCTGTGAGCGTGGAGCACTGAGCATACAGATGTGAGCGTGGAGCACTGAGCGTGTGTTATGACCCCGGAGAAGCGAGTCTACTCCAATGAGAGTTATTCGGCAATCTGGACCTAATTGAGAGGTCAGAGGAAGTATGGATAATAATATATACTAAATACATTACAAATGTTAATGCATAGTTTAAAAGCATTGGCAGAGGATGAACAAGTAAATAAGTGACATGACATGAGATATGGATACTTTGCTGATAAGGTGTGAGATTCGCCGGGGACGTCTTGACCTCACTTGAGCAACAGAGGTCGTGAGAGAGGGTTGTACTGTGTTTGAGTTCCTGGCAGAAAAGGAGGAACCCCTAGTTGCGTGTCCTTTTAAGAAGAGGTAATCAAGCAGGCGTTTAAGTGTGAAGTCTGTGGGACGATTTAATCTTCTCCAGTCAAGAGCAGAAGAGCTGTGAGGCAGACTAAGAGAGATCTGGTTGGACATCAGAGGGGGACGACATCTTGAAGCTGCTGCTGACCTCAGCGCCCTCGACAGATGAATTCTGCGGTTAGCTGACAGATCATGGCAAGCGTTTATGAATATAGTATTTATGTTTTATTAAGGCAGTCAGCTGAAATAAGAGAGTAGAGATAGAGGAACATCCCGGAGGTGACACGTCCACCCTCACAGGAGGCCGGTGGCTGACTGAGAGAGCCTCCCAACAGGGGTGGCTGCCAGCAACGTCCCAAATGTACCCGCCTAAGATAGGGGAGGACCGTTGCAGCGACGCAATAGTTTAAGGAGATGTCGGATCCTGTTTTAATTTCTGTGAATACATTTAATTATGGTTTAGTAGAGAAACATTTTTATTGGCATGACAATGGAAATTGCAGGTTTGTTTGGGGGAGGAGTTGATGGAAGAACTTCGAGGCCAGGGTGGAAGTTAATGGAGGAAACTTCGAGGCTGGAGAAGTGTATGCTGAACTCTGTGGGAAAGCAGAGCGCCATAGTGAGGAGCTGACCTCAAGCGGTGTAAAGGAGCAGTGAAGAGAAGTTTCACGTGTCTCTGTGGGATCAGTAGTGAAGCATCACTGGTGTTTCATGAAAACTTCATTGTGTAGCAGTTTGGGAGGACTGCAGAAGAGCCTTGTTGACTATTTTTGAGAGCCTAGAGATATACTTGGTAGTGAGCCTCTAGGAGCAGAACAGAGGTTCATGGTGATCACACATAATGTTTATGGTTAGTGCTTGAATGCTTATTGGCGTGTAAGACTCAGTGGAAGGTGAGAGAATGATTTCTGTTTGTGTTGGGGAATACTTATGCAGATGTTTCCGGTATTTCAGCCATTGGCTGAGTTTTATATATATTGAGGGCTGAGTGTATAATATTGTTGTGACAATCTTTCGACCTCACTTGGTGAGGGAGTAGTAAGTGGTAAGCCAAAAGTTGAGCAGCCACTTGATATGGACGGTTGGTGAAGCCAGGATAAGATATTGGGTTGTTACCAGGTTGTAGCAGCTTAGAGTGTTGTATGTTAATATTTTATCTTGTTTTATCATGTATTGTGAATGTTCTTTTATTCAACAAATGTGTATTGTTAGCTGGCTTTTGCTCTTGTCCTGGTGAGGCTTCCCAGAAAGCAGGAGAGAGAGAGAGAAAGGATCACAGCTGTGGACAGGGTGGCAGAGAATACTAATCTGTAAAAGGGGAATTTAGGAGATCATTCCAAACAAGGAGAGAGTGGGGAGTCACGGCAGCTCAAGTAGGGTGTGTACACAGGACATCGAGGCCAGTGTTGGAGCCGCACCCCAAGATATGTTATGCTGAACCCCTCTCCAAGATCAAGAGGCGTAGAGGGTGAACTCTTGAGAAAACGTCAAGCACTCCAGAGTTCATTGCTGGTCGACCGACGGTAACAGGAGTGTGGCTGCCGAGGTCGGTTGTCTGTTCCGGCAGAGAGTGGTTGGGGGACGTTGTCCACCTGTATGCTAATGACAGTCTGGTGCAGCAACTAGAGCTCTCTTTGGAGGTTTAAAATCCATAAGAATTACAGTGAGGGGTGAGATCTCAGATTGGCGTGAAGTCACCAGTGGAGTCCCACAGGGCTTTGTACTCACTCCTATCCTGTTTCTGATAACGTAAATGATCTCCCGGAGGGTATAGAATCATTCCTGTCAATATTTGCTGACGATGCCAAAATTATGAGAAGGATTTACACCGAGGAGGACTGCTTGAGGCTTCAAGAAAACCTAGACAAACTGATGAAATAGTCGAACAAATGGTTGTTAGAGTTTAACGCAAGCAAATGTAACCTAATGAAGATAGGTGTAGGGAGCAAGAGGCCAGATACAAGACATCATTTGTTAGAGGAAACTCAGAGTCAGAGAGAGAGAGAGAGAGAGAGAGAGAGAGAGAGAGAGAGAGAGAGAGAGAGAGAGAGAGAGAGAGAGAGAGAGAGAGAGAGAGAGAGAAAGCCTTGGGGGTTGATATCACGCCAGACCTGTCCCCTGAAGCCCATATCAAGAGGATATGGGCTTTAGCGGCATATGCCAGGATGGCCAACATAAGAACGGCATTTAGAAACTTGTGTAAGGAATCATTCAGTACTTTGTATATTACCTATGTCAGACCAAATCCTGGAGTATGCAGCTCCAGCATGGAATCCATTTCTAGTCAAGCATGAGACTAAACTGGAAAAGGTTCAAAGGTTTGCTTCCAGACTAGTATCCGGGCTGAGACGTATGAGCTACTAGGAGAGGCTACGGGAATTAAACCTCACGTCACTGGAAGACAGAAGAGTTAGGAGGGGACATGGTCACCACATATAAGATTCTCAAAGGAATTGATCGGGTAGATGAAGACAGGCTATTTAACACAAGGGGACACAGGTGGAAGTTGAGTGCCCAAATGGGCCTCAGAAATATTAGAAAGAACTTTTTTAGTGTCAGAGTGGTTGACAAATGTAATGCATTAGACAGTGATGTGGTGGAGGGAGACTCCATATTCAGTTCCAAGTAGATTAGGCTCGGGAACCTGTACACCAGTTGATTGACAGTTGAGTGGCGGGAGCAAAGAGCCAGAGCTCAACCCCCGCAAGCACAAATAGGTGAGTACACACACACACACACACTATACATATTTTATACGTTTAAAAGACAAAGACTTTATATAAATAGTTACATTGTCACCTTTCTGCTACCAAATAAATACGTTGGAAAACGTTTTGTGTGTACTGGGAAGGTCCCCGGGGAGACTATGAGTCCCAGGAGGCTATAAGGTCCCCGGGAGACTATGAGTCCCAGGAGGCTATAAGGTCCCCGGGGAGACTATGAGTCCCAGGAGGCTATAAGGTCCCCGGGGAGACTATGAGTCCCAGGAGGCTATAAGGTCCCCGGGGAGACTATGAGTCCCAGGAGGCTATAAGGTCCCCGGGAGACTATGAGTCCCAGGAGGCTATAAGGTCCCCGGGAGACTATGAGTCCCAGGAGGCTATAAGGTCCCCGGGGAGACTATGAGTCCCAGGAGGCTATAAGGTCCCCGGGGAGACTATGAGTCCCAGGAGGCTATAAGGTCCCCGGGAGACTATGAGTCCCAGGAGGCTATAAGGTCCCCGGGAGACTATGCGTCCCAGGAGGCTATAAGGTCCCCGGGAGACTATGAGTCCCAGGAGGCTATAAGGTCCCCGGGAGACTATGAGTCCCAGGAGGCTATAAGGTCCCCGGGAGACTATGAGTCCCAGGAGGCTATAAGGTCCGCGGGAGACTATGAGGTCCCCGGGAGACTATGCCCGGGAGATTATAAGGTCCCCAGGAGACTATGAGGTCCCCAGGAGACTCTAATGTCCCCGAGAGACTGTGACGTGTGGCCCTGAATAGTCTTCCAGAGCCGGTGTAGCCCCGAATAAATGGTGTAAGGACCCTGGCCTGGCACTCAAATAATCCTGAAACCATTTTTGGTTCCCATACAGAAAATCTGAGCAGTCAGTAGTGGACACTCTAATACAGACACCACCTTAAAAGGGGACTAAATAGGAGGGATAACGGACAATTAAGGGCACCAGGACATGGGGCAGAGAGCAGCTCGTCCTCCTAACATTTCCCAACGTCGAGAAACTGTCGTACTAAAGTGTGCTAATCCTAACCTAACCAGAGAACCCAAAACAGAAAACGGGACACAATGCCAATTTTGCGAGCTGCTACCATTTACT